TCATGTCTATAGAAAGGTTGTATTGTCAAACTCATAACTATATGAGAGTTTGTTGATCAAACTCTTCCCTGCAGGGGAGTGGTTACAAACTGTTCTACTTCTATATAAAATGTTAGTCAAATTTTTCTCAGTATGAGAGTTTGATATACCAAATTCTATTTATTCAAGACGTTTATATTCAGACTCTTCAGAATTTTATATACCAACTTTTTTTCCTCTTTCTTTTTAGATATACAAATATTCTTCTTCACATTAGCTGTGTAAAAATTCAAAATTTTTGAAATTAATAAATATCACTTTGGGTTAAAACCCCCATAAATTATAGAAATCACATTCGAAGCGAAATATTAAATATAAATTATGGTATTTATAAATCTATAAAAAATATTTTCTCTATGGCTTTTCAAAACCACTTGGAAATTTTCATATTCATCCAGTGTTACAATACCACAAATAGTATTTAGCTTCTAATTCCATACAGAATAGAAAAATATTCCAAAAAATTATACAGTTCTATTTATGGAACTCTCACGGCCCTCCTCCCACTACTTCAGACATTTCCCTGCAGTCATTCAATTAACAATTCAACGTCAAATCGCATTCGAAAAACGTCTCAATTGATGAATAAAAAGATGTTGGATGTGTGCGCGCTTTTCATCAAACTTTGTTGTAAAACGTTTTTCACACACACAGAAACATGCATTAGAGTCTTTTGTTGTTTTTGTGGAATTTCCATAGGAGGCGGAGGAGAGGTTTTCATGTCTTTGTTGCATTTGTGAATTCGGTTCCTAAGTTTTTTTTTTTTGCTGTTGTCCGTGCTTAATTAGTATGACGCTCTATGATGAATAGTCACAAATACAGTCGAGGAGGGGTAGTAGGCATGGAAATTCTGCCATTTTTCTAATGAATAAATTTTCTTATTTTTTTCTGTTTGTTTTGGGGGAGTGAGCCTTCCGACAAAAAGCCAGCCAACTTATTTTTGGAATACCGCGACGGCGACAGTTGTTTCTATTTTTTACATTTTCATCAGCATCCATCCTCCCGTGTGCTCTGCTTTTGTTATCTTCATTCAAAGATTCTGAAAAAAATCTTTGTTTATTTTGTTTGTTACAGTCCTAATTTATTCACGGAGGTTTGTTTTTGTATTCGCTGTTTTTGTTTTTCTTTTGTTTCCTCCAAAAAATAAAATTTGTTTAGGGTTTCGTTTATGTGTGGCCCACTTTTCAGCATCGTCGACGTCGTTGTTGTTTTTATGTTTTCTTAAATGTTTTTCTCGTCTAAATGGTAATTAATTTGAGTTGTAAACACACCAAATTGTGCATCCATTGCGCGACTATGTATTTTTTATGATGGGTTGTAAATACGGCGGGCATTCCGCATCGGTTTTTTTTCGTTGTTTGCACTTGCTGTCGTCGAGTGTGCTTTTGTATAGGGTTATCGCTTGACATCAGAGGGAAAATTTTTTGTTTGGTTATGTTTAGGAAATACTTAATTCTTGTGATAACCTAATTTTCTGGAGAGGAAATGCCGAGGAAGCTGTGCGATAAGAGCTAAGATAAATAAGTGATAATAAAAAAAAGAAACAGCAGTAACAACAAATTACGAAAGAAACGGATTTTTTTAATATAAAGGGGAATATTGAAAAAAAAATTAGAAATGTAACCAATCATATTTTGTTAAATGAGAAAGAGTTTGATGATCAAACCTTCAGGGTAAAAAGTTTGTTCATCAAACCTATCAATTGATACCAATTTGGTCTTCAAACTTATCGATGGAGAAGAGCATGAACTACAAACTCTTCACTGGAAAAATATTTGGATATCAAACTTCCCATAGAGAAGATTATTGGCGTCAAACTCATTCGTGGAGAATAGTTTGAGCATCAAACAGCTCTGTGGAAAATAGATTAGCTATCAAACGTCCCTATAGAGAAGATTTTAGCCTTCAAACTCATCCAGGGAAAAATTACTGGGCATCAAACTACTTTATGGAAAAATATTTGAGCATCAAACTCCTCTATGAGGAAGAGTTTGAGCATAAAACTCCTCAAACTCTTCTATAGAGATAAGTTTGTCCATCAAACTTTTTTATGGAGGAGGAATTTACCATCAAACTCTTTTAAGGGAAAGAGATTGCCAATCGAACTTCACTCAACTTATCCCTGCAGACGTAATTGGCCATAAAACTCCCTTATGGAAAAATATTTAAACATCAAAATGCTATATGGAGAAGAGTTTGAAGATCAATCTCATCTATGAACAATAATTTGACCATCGAACTAGTCTAGGGAAAATAAATAAACCATAAAACCCCTCATTGGAAAGAGATTGGGACTCAATAGATAAAAATTGGACTCAATGACCATTGACCATTGACCATTTACCATTGACCATGACCATTGACCATTTAACTCCTCTATGGAGAAGAGTTTGGCCATCAAACCCCTCTATGGACAAACATTTGACCCTCAAACTCCTCTATGAAAAAAGAGTTTTTTTCTCCAGCTTTCCTATGGAAAAGAGATTGGGGATGAGTTGGACCATCAAATATTTCACTGTAAAAAATTTTACCATCAAACTCTTCTCTGTAAAAAAGTTTGACCATTAAACTCTCCAATAGAATAAAGTTGAATCATTAAATTATCCTCTGGAAACGAGTTTGACCATCAAACTCCTTTATTGAGATGAGATAGACCATCAAACACTTTTATGGAAAATAGTTTGACAGTCAAATTATCAAACTCTTCTACGGAAAAGAGTTTACCATCAAACTCTCCCCTGGAAATGAGTTTTGACCAACAGACGCTTCCATCAAACTCCTCTATTGAGAATTGTTTGACCATTAAACTCTTGAATGGATATCAAACTCCTCTGGGGAGAAAAATTTGAACATCAAACTCCTCTGTAGCATTAAGTTCGATCATCAAACTCTTCTGAAGAGAATATTTTGGCCATCAAACTCCTCTATTTATAAAAGTTGGCCATCAAACTTCCTCAAAAAGAAGATATCGTCCCACAAACTAGCCAATATGAAAGAGTCCGACCATCAAACTTCATCATAAAGAAGAATTCATGTCTCAAACTATCCAATAGAAAATAATCCGACCATCAAACTCACATGTTAATAAACTAATCTATAGAGATATGTTTGATGTTTAATCTCCATTGTAGTAATGAGTTTGCTGATCAAACTTCTTCATAGAAAATTAATACGGCCATCAAACTTCCCCATTTAGGAGAGATCGGCCCTTAAACTACTTAATTGTAATGAGTTCGAGCTTCAAATTTACATTTGAAAATTAAATTCGGCTCTCAAACTACTCAATATGAAAGAGTTCGATCATCAAACTCCACAATAGATATGAGATTTCTCATCAAACTTCTATATCCGAATATCGATCGACCCTCAAACTACTTAATAATTATGTGTTCGACCTACAAACTTTCATATGTAGATGAGTTCGGCTCTCAAACTACTCAATATGAAAAAGTTCGACCACCAAACTCCTCTATAGAAATGATATAAGTCGTCAAACTCCTTTATGCAGATAGTTTTGACCATCAAACTACTGCACAGAGATGTGATTGGCTATCAAACTTCCATATAGAAAAGATTACGGCTATCAAATTTCCTCATAACGGAGGGATAGACTTGCAAGCCACTCAATAGGAAGGAGTTCGACCACCAAAGCATTAATAATAAGAAGGAGTTCGATCATCAAACGTTTTCATAATGATGAATTCGGCCGTCAAACTAATGAATTTTTAAGAGTCACACCATCAAAATCACATAAAACGATGAGTTTCGCCATCAAACTCCTCTACAGGGATGGCTTTAACCAGCAAAATCCTCATTGGAGGTAGGCATGACTATCGACCATCATCAAACTGTGTCCGCAGATATGAGTTTGGCTATCAAACTTATATATAGAAAAGATTACGGCTATCAAACTTACTCACAAAGGAGGGATAGACCTGCAAACTACTACATCGAAATAGGTTTGACCATCAAACTACTCCGCAGAGATAAGTTTGACTATCAAACTTCTATATAGAAAAGATTATGGCTATCAAACTTCCTCATAAAGGAGTGATAGACTTGCAAACTACTCAATAGGAAGGAGTTCGACCACCAAAGCATTAATAATAAGAAGGAGTTCGACAATCCAACGTTTTCATAAGGATGAATTCGACCATCAAACTAATATATTTGTACGAGTCCGGCCATAAAAAACACATAAAACGATGCGCTTCGACATCGAACTTCTCTACAGGAATGGTTTTAACCATCAAACTCTTCACTAGAGGCATGTATGACTATCGACCATCATCAAACTGTGTCCGCAGATATGAGTTTGGCTATCAAACTTCTATATAGAAAAGATTACGGCTATCAAACTTCCTCATAAAGGAGGGATAGACTTGCAAACCACTCAATAGCAAACCACTCAGACCTCCAAACCACTTAATAAGAAGCAGTTCGATCATCAAAAGTTTTCATAGGGATAAATACGGCCGTCAAATTAATAGATTTGTACGATTTCGACCATCAAACATCGTATATGGACATCAAACTCCTGTACAGGATTGGCTCTAACTATCAAACTTCTCTTTAGATATAGGTTTGACAATCGAACATGTATATAGCAATGTTTTCGCCAATGAAACTTACTCATAATGAAGAGTTCAACCTTCAAACTCCTAAATAAGAACCATCAAACCCGCATATTGAAACGTGACTGAACTTCAAACTTCTGTGCAGTGTTAAGTTTGGTTCCTCAAACAATTGCTAAGTCCAGATTTAATATTCAAAATTTGCTAAACCCAGAAGTCTGAACATCAAACTCCTTCATACATACGAACTGTTCCTTCTGCTAGGCAGACTCTTCCAAACTTCAGACACATTTTTAATATTTTTATTTTTTTCCTATGAATATTTTGAACCTTTTGTCTTCACCTAACACATCCCTAATAATCCTCTTGTTATTTTTCTTATTACAGATAATCGGTTTGACAATTGTTATTGCCACGGCATGGATGCTGACAGATCCCACCTTTGTTCTGTCCATGACACAGACCTATTATCACTATTACATAGCGCTCTATGTGATCTTGGGTATTGGCGTTCTCATTACCATTGGTGCTCTCTTCGGTTGCTGTGGTGTTCTTAAAGAATCGCAATGTTTGCTGGTGTTGGTAAGTGGCAAAACAAGAAAACAACAACAACAATAAACTAATTTATGAAGTGGTGGCTAAGACGTTGACAATCCTTTGGACCACCAAAACAAAAAATTCCGCAATAAACAAACCCATAATTAAAATTCCAAACAAAATTTTTTATCCATAAAAATTTGTGTAAATATTTTGTGAAAATTTTACCGCCCAGTCAAAATGTGTGAAGGTGTGGGTGGTTGGTTGTGTGTGACAAATGGAGGCGTTGTCAGTCAAACAAAAATCAACAAAACACAAAAATCTCCAGCAACAGGTTGTTGCCCGCATAGGAAAATGAACTTTAACTGATTTTTATTGCTTTATGAACAGCCAACAAATGTTGCATGTGTAGCAGCCAACCAGCCTACCAGCCTACAAACCGACCGGCTGGCTGACTGGCTGGCCGTCTGGTTTGGGCTAGCCGTTGCCGTTTTTAATCGTTGATGTCGAAAGAAATTTGTTACAACGGCATGGTTGTGCAGCGACACCACCCCCACAATTATGGAAGTCATTCATTAACAAAATAACACAATAAACCCTCAACAACAGCAACGACACACACTTACACTCCTCTCATACACAAGAAAATGCCTCAATGGATTTCCCAATTTGTTTGTGTTGTATTCCCCCCACTCACTGACTCTACATGTCACTCCTCTCAAGTTCCCAATGCTTTACGTTCTTTTTTTTGTCATAATTTCGGCTTGATTAATTTTCTTTTAAATTTGTTCTCGTCTCGTTGTTGTTGTTTTTTTCATTGCCTTATTGCCGTCTTATCTCTTCGACTGACTTTGCTGACCTTTTTTTTCTCTTCTTCTTCTTCTCTTTTTCAGTTCTTCTGTGTGATACTGGTGGTAATGGTGGCACAAATCGCTGCCGGTGCCTGGGCATTCCACAATAAAGACAAACTGGATGATATCGTTCGAGCCTCTGTGAAATATTCGGTGCAGGAGGAATATGGCCAGTCGAGTATGAGTTCGCGTACAGTGACATTTGATACCATACAAAAGAATGTAAGTATGCTTGGAATTTTTGGAGTTCGGCGGGGGAAACAAATGTAGGTTAAATGAAAGATAAGAGTGAGAACCCTACATTTAGACATTTGAATGTAGGGTCCAAATACATTCACTTCGTCAACAACAATTTAGTGACCTTTAGCGCGTCTATGAAGATTCCGCGAGCCTTCAACAGGCTCCCTGGGCTTTTTTTAAAGTTTGGACAAACAATATAAAGACCAGGGGACCAGCGCTATAAAGACTACCTTAAGTTGGTACTTCTATAGAGACATCCTTCAGTTATATTAAAACACTCCTCAATTCGTCTCACTGCCTATCAGATTTTCTATAAAGACTTCCAAGTCTTTAGTTTGCTGAAACAGACTACCAAGTCTTCAATTCTAATTAGATGAACCAGACCTCAAATTGCCTATAAGGAAGTATAAAACGCCAAGCCTTGAGATAATACATATAAGGCCTCAGATTATTTTCAAAGATTCCCTGGCCCTCAGATGGTCTAAAAAATTTTCCTGGACTTCAGTTTGTCTTTATAGACCTATAACAATTCACTTCCGCTGGACTATAAAAATTCCATTCAGTTTGTCCACAAAAATTTCCTGACCTTCAGATATTCTGTAAAGACTCTGAGGCATTTATTTAGTTCGCCTATAAAAACTCGGAGGTCTTCAGCTCGTCTATATAGACTCTCTGATACACAGAATGTTGTTAAAGAATCCCTTCAGGTCTATAAAGGCTTCGATTTCAAGTCACTCCAGATAGACAATACGAAGATCAGGGACTCCAGATTCGATAAAAATCCGACATAAGGAAGTATTTTCCAGTCAGACCGCCTTTAAAACATCCCAGGCCTTCACATCTACTATAAAGACTTCCAGGTCTTTACTTCTTCTATATATACTTCCAAGCCCATACAGTTAACATATAGGCTCTCAGGCCATAAAATTGTCTATAAAGACGTTAAAACGCCAAGCATTAATCTCGTCTATTAAATCTATCAGACCTTCAGATTCTCTTTAAAACTAACTGACCCTTAGATCGTCTAAAAGACTTCAGTTTGTCTATAAAGACTCCATAGATTTCATATCGTCTATAAAAAACCCCATCTCTGCTGATCTGTAAAGAATCCATTCGCCTTTAAAGAGTCCGAGGTCTTCAACTCGTCTATATTGACTTCCTAGTGCTCAGTTCGTCTCAGTTCGGCACATGAAGATCAGATCATTTAAAAATACCATAGAGTCAAAAAAGGCTTCCTAGTCTTCCGATCGCCTACAAAAACTTCATGAACTCCAGATGCCGTGGACTTCAGTGCGAATCCAATCAATAATCCATTCAGGTCGTCTATAAATACGACTCTCTCCCTCGCCTCTATAAAGACTTCATGGAATTCCGAACGTCTATATAGACTCCCTGGCCTTTAGATCGTCCATAAGGACTACTTGGTCTTCGGATCGTCTGTAAAAACCTCCCTTCATATCGTCTCTTTATATACCCTTTACTTCGTCTATAAAGACACCCAAACCTTCAGGTCGCCTATCAAGGCTCCTTTGCCATTAGCTTTCCAATAAATACTACCTGCCTTTCAGCACGTCTATAACGACACCCTGACTTTCAGGTCGTTTGTAAAGACTTTCTGGAGTTCAGAACGTCTATCCATAAGGACTACTTGGTCTTCGAATCGTCTGTAAATGACACCCCTCACTTCGTCTACAGAGAGATTCTTCAGCTCTATAAAGACAGACACTTAGTATTTAAAGACTTCCTGGCCTTTAGTTCGCCCATAAGTCCCCTGGCTTTAGAGCCTTTCAGTTCCTCTCTATAGAACTTCTATAAAGACTTCCATGCCTTCAGATCGTCTATAAATGCTACTTCAGGTCGTCTGTAATGACCTCTATCCGCTTAGGCTAAAGAGATCTTTTGCACTTCCATAAAGACTCCCATCACATCGTCTGTAAAGTCTTCCTTGCTTTTAGTTCGTCTCCCATGCTTTTAGTTCGTCTCTCCGACTCCCTGGTAGCTCCTCTCTAAAGACATTTTGGAACTTTCGAACGTCTACACAGACTCCCTGATTTTCAGATACGTGGTCATCGAATCGTCTGTAAATACCACGCTTCACATCGTCAACAAAGAGCCCTTTTAGTTCCATAAGGTCTCCATCCACTTCATCTATAAATACGTCCTAACCTTTAGTTCGCCAATAACGGCATTATGGTATTCATCTCGTCCATCGAGACTCCAATCCGCTCATCTTCCTATAGAGGCTACCTTCAGCCTGCCTTCCTTTAGTAATCCCGTTGAGAGACCGTCCAGCTCGAATATAGAAATCACCACATCAGCTCGCCTATAAAGGTTCCAATCAGCTCGCCTATAAAGGCTTCCATCAGCTCGCCTATAAAGGCTCCCTTCAACTCGTCTATAAAGGCTCCCTACACCTCGTCTTTATGCAGTAATCCTATTGGGAGACCCTCCTACTCAAATTTAGAGACTTCCCTCAGAATCCCTTTCATGTGCCAAGCTCGCCTATATAGGCTTACTTCAGCTCGCATACAAAGTCTCCCTTCAGCTCGCCAATAAAGGCCCCCTTCAGCATAAAGGCATCCTTCAGCTGGGCTATAGAGGCACCATTCAGCCGGCCTATAGATGCTCCATTCAGCTCGTCTTTTCTATAATAGTTCCCTTCAGCTCACATATAAGGTCTTCCTTCCCCTCGCCTCTAGAGGATCGTCTATTGAGACTCAATGAATCACACCTATTGTGGTTGCCTTCACTTCCCTTCAGCTCTGATATAATATTTTTCTTTTCACATTTTAATCTGTTTCTTTTTCTTCTTTAGCTCCAATGCTGTGGTGCTGATGGTCCGGCCGATTGGGCAACCAGCCGTTTCAATAATGTGGATCGCACAAATATTGTCGATATTGCCATCTCATCGATGAATGTCTTCTATAACATTCCAGAATCATGCTGTAAAGATGAATTGAAAGAGAATGTGTGTGAAATGTCGAGGAAATTGAAATTCGGTGGTACCCTCAATCCGGCCATACATCAACAGGTGAGTGGATCTCTTTCTCTAAAAGAAAAACATAATTAATTCCCCTTTTTCCTTACAGGGCTGTGTGGACAAACTCATCGAGGTGATCTATGAAAATTGGGTATTGCTGTTCGGCATAACCGGTGGCATTGTCTTGCTGGAATTGTTGGCCTTGACCTTGTCCTTGAGCTTGTGCTGTGCCGTGAGAAGTCAGCAATACAAGGCCTGAGAATTACAGAATTCCCATAGGGAAATATCAGACGATGAAAAATACTAACCGTATTCTATAAGGCAGCAGCAGCTGCAGCAACAACATCAGCAGCATCAGCCGCAGCAACATCAGTCACAGCGACAACGTCATCATCAGCAACCACATGAATTGCAACAAAGACAACAGCAGCTGCAACAACAACGACTGCAACAATATCATCAGCAACATCAAGAAGAGCAGCAGCAACAGCAGCATTATCAACATCAACATCAGCAGCAACATCATCATCCACACCGCCATCATCACCATCAATATGTTGAGCAACAACAACATGTACCGCTGCAACATTTCTATTGAAGGAACACCAAAAAAGAAGAAGAATAAAAAAAGAATTATATTGAGAAGAAAGGAAATGATAGAAAATTAGAAATTTAAGCAGGCCATACAGATAGAGACGCAGTCGCCAATTTGCTAGAAATCTACATTTTGTGAAGGAGAACTGAAACATTTCACATCCTTCTCCTTTGTCCTCCACAGACAATTAATGACTCTTTGCATAACCAAAAAAATGAAACACACAAGTATTCTTTTCTAAAGGAATCTCATGTATTTTTTCTTCTGTCTTACTCTCGAACACTTCCAATAGATAAAGGAACACAAAACATAACCAAAATGGAAATCTCTTGAAGCAAAGCAATTCACAAAAACAAATTATTTTATAATTTATATAAAACAAAAACACAAATTGTATTTTATTAATTTTTATTGTATATAGTCTAATACAAAAAGAAACAAAAATTGAAACAAATCTTAACTTAAAAAGAAAACTCACTCTAAAACAAAAACTTTTCGAATATTTAATGAAAACATAACCTTGAATATTACTTAAAAATAATAATAATACCATTTTCATATAGCATAATATCTAATATAAAAATATATAATTGAAATGAAACGCCCCTCTCCCTCATATAGAAAAATATTTAAACAAAAAACCAACACAAACAAAGAAAAAAAATGTCGCATAAATTAAATATAAGAAAATGTCTTTTTTGTTAGTTATTAAAAATATTTAAAACAAATGAATGAAAGAAAGTAAGAAATGTAATTTAAGGGACTAAATTAAATTTATTGAATGAAAAAATATGAAGAAAAGAAAAACAAGAAAAAAATATATATTTATAAAACACAAACACTACACAGTTTACTTTTTTTTAATTTTTGATATAATTTTTTACTTTAGAATAGAAAAATTAGGGATTTGTTTTATAGATATGTCTCCAAGCCTTTTAAAATTAGGTGTTATCTTCAAAAAACCCCACAATATGTTACTGTTACAGACTCTTTCCAAAATGTCTAAATAATTCAAATCCAAACAAATGAAATTGTTTTACCCACAATCCCTAGCACCGAACTACTAATGGTCACAAATTCAAATCTTTATCAATTCGATTTGTATGTACACATTTATGTATAATTTAGAAATCGTAACTATGTGGAAATAAATTTGACATCTGAGTACTCCATTTCGGAGAATTTTTTTAAGGTCGGAACCAGAAGAAATTTGTTATTAGGATAATAATCAAACATTCATAACTGAAACATGGAAAATGCACAATGAAACATGGAAGCATATGATAACGATAATATGGAATATTGTACGGCGAATATACAAGTCACCAGACTAACACCTAAACTGAATCAAAGGTTATAATCGATATGAGATATAGAATAGGCATCCTCCAGAGACATGCGCTCTCTGGAGGATGCTAGAAATATAACCTCAATATATCTGGTCTTAAAAGATTCGATTTTTTCTATGAATCTGAAAGATTTTTGAGTTTTCTAAAGGGAAAGCAATCGATACAGCTGTATCCATGGATGCTTATATAATATATCTTTTAATAAAATTGTTTCCAAACACAGAAGCGAGGATTTTCTCAACATTTTTATGTAGGCTTCCGAAGATGCTAATATTTAAAAAGAAAATATTTTCAGGCTACCTCAAAACGAGGATTTTTAAAGAATATTAATCAGCCATCCAGAGAAGTATAGATTAAATATATATAAATATAGATGGCACTCGAGAAAGCGGATATTGGACATATGAAGAAGAGTAATTTTTTCAGGCATATTTTAATGACATTCAAAAAATCGTGATATTTTAAGTACACTTTTGTTTATCCAAAAAGTTTTTTCCGCTTTACTCCTCCTCCAACTAGTCTACTTTCTATTTGGTATAGAAGGTAAAGGACCATATATCAAGCGTAGACAAAGTCTAAAAATCTTTAAAAAATCGACTTCAGCTTTAATAAGTTAATATTTTGTGTAGATCCGCTAAGACTTGATAGGTTATTCGCATACGAAGAATTTCGTCTAATTTGATAATTGAAACACATGTGGGTTAAGCGAAGGCTTAAAAATGTTTATTTAGTAAAATTTTATTTTTAAGCCCGTGGGCGTCTTCTCCGAAGACGAACTGATCGAAGATCTATTAATAAGGTCACCCAGGTAGCAATCGAAATCGGAAAACAGCTGTTTTTTTCTCAATTCTAATGTCAAAAATTTGAACTTTGTTTACGTTTTCATAATGGAAGTCAATTCACAATAAGGAATTTTGACAGCAAGCTTGAGTGGCTGCTGATATCCAGATGGTCTCCCTGGGTGACCTTATCTATAGGCTTTGATCAGAATCCTTGTTAGTCCAGTGCAAGATCTATTAATAAGGTCACTAAGCTAGCGAAAGTCAGTTGTTTTTGTTTCACATGCATAATGTCAAAATTTTTTATCCAGCTGGTCTCCATGGATGACCTTATTTATAGGCCTTGAGACAGTTAAAAAAATAGCAGTGGCTACAGTATTCAAGTAGAAACTATATAGCGACCATTATATATTAATAGGGTCACCCAGCTAGCGAAAGCCAGCAGTTTTTTTCCCAAGTCTAATGTCAAAAATTTGAATTTCATAATGGAAGTCCATTCACAATAATGTGTTTTGACAGCAAACATGAGAGGCATCGGTTATTCAGCTGGTCTCCCTGAGTGACCTTATTTATAAGCGACCACAATATGCTGAAGTAGGTAGTGCAATATCGACATTGTAATAAATTCGTTAGCTTCACAATATTTCATGTTCTGAGTTAATTGAGAAATTAGGTCTGAACTGTAATTCAGAACTGAGTGACTGATATCGTTACCATTACTTCAAGAAGTGCTATAGCATTTGATGGCATTGAGATAGTATGGTTTTCGAAAGTTTATATATAATCGGACAGCTTAAATTATATTGCCGTCAAGAAAACTCGGCCTTACTTTCATGGTCCATAACGTATAGAGTGTAATAGTTAGTTTTGGGCCATGAAAACAATCACGATTCTGTATTATATTCAGAAATGTTTGTTAGCAGCATAAATTCCAAAATCTTAGCTGGCGGGTGTCAAACTTGTAGATTGAATTAGTTTCATAGACGCATTAATAATTCTTCTGATGTATTTGTAGAAAAATTGAAACAGGATCCACATGTTAAGTTCATTCTCAGGTTATTTTTATTCCCTATGTTCTAAAAGGATTACAAAGCGAATCCCTTTACAATAAAAAGTACTAAACAGACCCATACACAGGCTTATACGATCTTCTCAAAAAAATGTCAAATCTCACAATTGATTAAACTGGGTCTGAAAGGGTTATGCTGAAACAAATTTTAGAGCAGTGTTGAACAGAACTAAATCGAGAGTTGGTGTGTGAGAGCGTAATTGGGAGATCATCATAAAAATGACTGGCCAAAACAGAAAAAAAGAGAATGCGTATTTAGGCATCATCGCTATCGTACTATTTTGTACATTAGTATTTTAGAGCTAAACTTATATTTTGTTGTTAGATGATTGAGATGCCTTCGGCGGATACCTTTGAGAATGGCAGTAACGATCAGTAGTCAACCGGCTTACGTGGTGGCTAAAGGCTTATTATAGCCTCAACTAGTATATTAAATACCAAAGACATGCGGAAAATACATAATACTTACTGTGGTCTAGGAAAAAGAGGTTACAAATAAAAACTACAGTATATATCGGTTATAAGCACATCTCATATAAGAAAAAAATCGCATTTAAGAAATCTCCGGCTTTTTTGAGTTTCTTATATCCGATATCTAAATGGTAAATACAATGTTATGTTAAAAAAGAGCGTGAGACAAATCCGAGATGAGATTACCTTGTTTTGCAAAACTAGATCAGTGGGCCTATTCTGTAACTTATAACAACTATCGGTATTGTTTAAATTTCTTTTGCTATTGTAAAAATAACAAAACCAATTAACTTGTTGTAAAATAACAAATATGTAATGTTGTTAAATAGTTACACAATATACCTACAGGTTGACACAACTATCACTATTTTTACTCTACGATTTAAATGGTCTTTATCATTTAAATCATAGAGTAAAAATATATATCTGCCATAAAAACATCCATCAATATATAATTCATTCAAAAAGAGTCATTTTTAAAAAAGCATGTGGGATCGCTTTAGATACAATATTGTGGGATTTATTCGCCAGCAAATATAATACTAATTTTAATTTCTTTCAATTAAAAAGTCCAATTTTGATACATCTTTTTTTAAATCATAAATGCCAAGTCTTTTGTTTACATGTCTTCCGCTTATATTTTTATAAAATATTACAAAGAATATTATTTTAAATTAAAAAAAAAAAAATGCCAAACTAATTTTACATTTTTTACATGACTAATCTTTTTTACATTTTTAATGAAAATATGTAATTATTATTTGTCAGTATTTTTTCGTTTAAAGAATATACACACATTCCACAAGTTCAAAAAATTATAGCTCAAAGAAACCATACAAAATTGTTGTCCATTGATAAAGAAAATAAAAGTAATTTAACCTAAACATCGAACTCCCTGAATAATACAAAAGAAAAACCTAATAAAAGGAAATAATTCGAATTCAAAAACAAAGATTCTAATTTGGAATATAATTAAATACCAAAATAGTTATATACAACAAACCAACCATAATTTAATTTTGATTTACAATTCTTATATTTTTTTTAATATTTAAATTCTTTACTTATATAAAGAAATTAAAATTGTA